ACGTTCTTGGGGGGGAATATTTCTGGAAAGGGTGTGAGGAAGGAGGAGGTAAGAACTGCCACCTCATCAGGGCTGTTGCGAAGGGTGTGTAATGAGGGCACCGTCACTGCTTGTAACCTCTTTGGTTTTATCCCGGCTCCTGGCGGTGGTGTTTAAGGTAGCTTGCTGTGTGCTTCGTTTTCCTTGGCCTGCTGATAGGGTGCCAGCTCCTGTGAGGTCTTGAAAATGTCGTGGTATTCTCGAGTGCAACTGTGTGACAGCATTGGCCAGTTCTGTACTGGCCTTGAATTTCTCACTTCTGTACGAATTTTGCACAGTTTCCAAGTTCAAAGGCTTTTTCAGTGGTCCTCCTCAGCCACAGCCATTATTAGTGCCAGACCTACAAGTTCGCTGAGGCTTTTGACGGTTGTGTTGCATCTGTTTGTTTTTGTTTTGTTGTTGGGGTTTTTTGTTGGGGTTTTTTTTTTTCCTCTCACCATTGGTATTTGAAGTTCGGCAGAGAAGTTTATTTGCGCTTTGTGTGGCCTGTTTGCTTTCAGACTACATTGTCAGCAACACCTGTATGGTCAAACTCTTATTCACAGGCTCCTGTTAAATTTATAACTTGGTTATACAATTGTGTACGTAGTCAGAGTTTCACCTGAGGAACGTTGTTTAACTGGCAGTGGCAGATTGAAGTGGAACTGAAGCTGTCAATAGTCAGAATAAGTCCATAGACTTAAGACTGACCTGGGCTCGACATTGGAAATTCAGTTGGTGTACTAAACTAATGAATACTTCAGCTGGCCAAGTGGCAGCAGGAACATACTGTGGCAAAGATGCTCTGTAGTATAAGACTACATACTGTGGTGTTGAATTGCTTTTTTGGATGTGTATTCTGGTAGTGTTAGAGGAAAAATAATAATTGCTGTCAAAGTATACTTTTTTTTTCCTAAGCTTGTGGCAGTGATGCTCCTGCTGAGAATTCTTTATTTGGAGTTGCCAACCTATTTCAAGTATACGGTTTAATGGCTACGTGGACTTACCAAAGCCACATTTCCTAGTTTGGGGTCTATTTTTTTAACTTCAGTTAATAAAGATGTACAGAACAGTAATAGAATGAAAAGTGATGGTTCTGGATCTTATTTACTGAACTTACTAACCTCTTAGTTCATGAGTTCATTTTCCAGAGTATGTATTTAGGGTTTTACATTTTTTAAGTATCTGCATTTTTTTTTCTTTCCCCCCCAATATTACTGGTCTTTGAACTCAAAAGTGTTCATATTTAAATTTGCATCTTGCTGTCTTGATAATAGAAGTCTGCCTCATGCCATCTGATCCACGAATCAGTGGAACAGTCAGCCTGTATTAACTTTCTATCTTACAGTTGATATCTATGAATACTAGTTTATATCTGGCTGGTAAATGGGTTCAGTAAAAAGCTTTTTGAGTACTTAGTGATGTGGCAGGTTGCAGTTCAGCCCTTACTGTTGTGTTTCCTGAATTCCTCCTCTTCAAACACCCTGACTTGTGCTGAATAAGCTGCTATTTGATACAGATCACCTCTTGGGAAGATTCATCCTTCATGGCTGTTTGTCCACACTAATCGCAACAAAAAGGCGACTGAGGAGGATGGAGGAGCATTGTTCCTCTTCCCTGTCTCCTTCCTAGTAGTAAAAGAAAGGAAATGTAATAAGGGGAAGAAAAAACAGGGTTTAAGTACACAGAGCTCAGTTCGTTATTGTCAGACCACTAGCCTTAAGTGTTTTCTCTCACCCTCACACCACATGTTTCTATCCTGAGTTTGTGAGGTTTTTTTCTTGCCCCAAATAGCAAAGGATACTGGGGAGACAGGGGGGGCGCTTTTTGGTTTGCCAGTCTTAATTATATTTACTAACTTTCCTTGCAAATGGAGGGTGTAAAGACTTGATGGGTGGAAGTTACACATGGCTCAACTGGATGCTCGGAGTCTCCTTGTGAGCCTTTTTGTATTACTCCTTAAACAGTGGTTGCTTGTCCACTTCTTACTCTGTTCAGTCTTGTCCCTGAAAAACACACTTGCAAACACACTGTGGTGCCCATGCCCCCGTGTAGCTGGACACAAGGGAGCAATGACTGTGCAGAAACGGGGGACAGGATGGAGTGAAGGCCCCATAGCTCTCGCCTGTTCGGACACGGTCATCCTTGATAAGTCCGCCTTTGCCACACCTCTCGCAGTTCTGAGGCCTAAACTTATGTCAAGGGCCTAAAGACCCAGTCTCTGAAACATATTTGAACCCACTGAGAGAGAAAACCTAAGGCGGGGAAGTAAAAGGAGAACCTCACCTGCATAAAGTTAAAAGTAAAACCAACTTGTGATACTGAGCACTTAGTTTAGTGATATAGCAGTTACGGCTCGTCATTATTAAAATAAGAGGGAAGGGGAGAAGACAGCACATTTGAGTAAAAGATAAGACCCAACCAAGGGCTTATCTACCGAGACCATGCAGCAACAAGAGCATAAAGGATGCGGACTGGAGGAGGCTCTTCGGAGCTCTTATCGACAGGTCGTGTTACCCTCCCTGTGTACGTAGTTGTGTCGTGTTATGTGTTACTATTTCGTGAACCTGTATGCTTGCTTAAGGATTCTGGCTCTCGTAATGAACTGTCACCATATAGTACCCACCTGACTGTGGAGTCTGAGTAGTGGTCGTTTCCCCCCCCCCCTTTTGGTACTATACGGTGCTTGACACACACATAAAAGCAAAGCCCAAACCTGTTTAAAAATAACAGCAAACTTAAGACTTAATACGCTAAACACAGGGTCATTCTGATCAAAAACCGCCCCAAAAGTAGGATCTCCGACTCACATGACAAGACAATCTTCAAGCTCTTTTATGTTAAAAATAAAAAAAGTTTAGATTATTGTAATTAAGATTAGCGACATGCATGTTTCTTCTTTGTCTTTGAAACAATTCTGTTTCTGGTACACAGTTGGAACTAATTCTGTTTATTTTCATAGTCCCATTACCCAGCTTGGGGACAAGATCTAAAAAAAAAAAAGTAGGTGGAAATTCTACTGGGGAAAAAGAGGAGTGTGTAGACAAATGTAAAATCTTGAAACTGTTTTCAAGTTGGAGGGCTTTCTTAAGCTTTTTACACTGTGGATGTGACTGATTATATGAGGATACAGTTGAAGTTTATATACTTAGGTACCCACATATTAGCACCAGTTATTCTAATAAAAATCCTACCAGGAAGTTCTAATTTATTTGAAGTGAGTGTATTTAACTGGAAAAACAGGTTAGCTGCACTTGCTTTTGTTTCCTGTGCCTTCTGACTGTCAAGCTTTGAGCTGTCAGGGCTGGTACCAATTCTTACCTGGGAGTAGTTTCGTAGGGGTTTTTATTTGGTTTTGGGTTTGTTCTTTTCTTTGTTTTTTCTGCTCTTCCACTGTAGCATCAGTGCCAGGGCTACGGGCTCTGAATTTATCCAGAATATCTGACTTGATTTGACAGCTGGGGCTCTTGTGTGTGGTCATCTGAGGTCTGTGGTGAATAGATAACAATTAGGCAGGCTTTAGAATTAATATTCAAATTAAAGTATTTGGAAGTTTTAAAAATGACTAGTATGCTTGCATATCTCTTGCATAAATTCAGTTTCTTGCTGGAGCATACAAAGCTTCTTCAGCTGTAGTGCTGGGCCCTTGGTATCCAGCTCACTAATGACTGTCTATCTGTTGGAAAGAGCTCTGTGGGATTGGTTTGTTTTTTCCTCCGGTTGAACTTGAGTCCTTATGTTCCCCAGACCAAAGAGTGAATAGGTACCCAAATAGGTTACACAGAATTTGAGTCCTTAGACTCCTGGGCCTATGTTAACAGTTTTCAGATGTCTACTGTGGGGTGGTTTATTTAGAGCAATTGTTTTCCTACAGCCAGAAAATGAATAGGCGATATACTTATATCAGTAAACAGCCCAGCTGTCAGGTCAGTGTACAGTGTTCCTGAGTAGTTATGGTAAATGTCACTTTTCATCATGGTTACACTGACTATATAGGCTCCTGCTGGAGAGTCCCACATCAATTTATGATGTTCAGCAACTTGCAGAGCCAAGTTTTAATGTATGTCTAGTGTAATTAGTCTTGTTCTACAGGGAAGCTACAGCCCTTTACAGTTTGCCTTATTTCTCTATCTGTGTTGCTCCTGCTTTTCTTACTTACCTGTTTACTACTAACGGTCACCTTTCTCATTTCCTTTATTTATTATCTTTAGTATTTTCAAGGAAAAGGATGGCTCTCCTGCCTAAAGTATTATGTAACTGTAAAACTGTACTGAACATAACGTGTATGAAAGACACTGAATAGTATTGGTACATCTTAATTGTGGAAAACCTATTCTTGGAGCTATCCTGAAGTGACTAAATGTGAAACGAGGACA